TTTTTTTTTTTTTTTTTTTTTTTTTTTGTCCAATTACATTTCTACAAGGCTGTCGGTTTCCATGGAACCCAAGCATAAAATGGGCCAGTTTTCCCCTAGTCTTCAGATCCTCATCTCTGCAGGCTCTTATGTCACGTGGAACTGTATTAAACAAATCCCTTGCGCTTTTCTCTTGCTAAATTGTCTTTTCTTACAGGAGTGTTGGTCCTGCCCTTGTGGAAGGTGAGGAAAAGACTTCCACCTTCCCATGTGGAACAAAACCGGGTCACTTTGTCAGAAGGTGCAAGATAACCCCAGGGACTGGGGCTGATGGGTATTAAGGAGTCCTTTTGCAGCAGGCAGACATTGTGAAACACAGCAGGGAGACCGAAATGAGGACAGTTAAAGGCCTTGCTCCCAGGCAACTAACTCATCACAGGGTCTGAAGCTGGGCTGTGGCCAGAAGGTCTGGCTCCAGGGCGCAGAGCACCCATCCCAGGCTGAAGGACACAAGGCAGGTCTGGAGAGTGTCCCTGCCGTTCACACAGTGACACTGTATTCATCCGGGCCATCTGGGCGAGGCGGGGGACAGGGCACTCGAAAGCCAGCTGGGGCAGGCTGAGGAAAGCACAGCAGAACAAAGGGAAGCGCAACTGTCTTCTCAAAGAGGAGTTTCCATTGGTTATGGAAGGACGAACCACCCCCACATTCTACTAGGCTTCTGGATCCCGCCTTTAACGTGTACACCTGCAGTCCTCCTGCCTCAGCCTCCCAGAGTGTTGAGATTACAGGTGTGCCCCATTGCGTCCAGTTGTGAATGCCACATTTTTGGAATTCAGGTTTAAATTGTTAAATGTCCCTCGCTTATCCCGTGTGTCTGAGCCAAACCTGACTTTTGTATTTTCAATTTAGAAACTGACATGCAGACGACTATAGATTCAGCTGCAAGCGGCTGCGAGGTGGGTGGGTTCGGCCCGCAGCATGGATCCCGGGGGTCGCTGAGAAGGGCGGCGGGCCAGCGTTGTGCAGTGAAAGCGTCTGCGCCTGTGCGTTGGACCCAGCTCCCCTCCTCTCCCCCAGGGGCCCACTCCTCCCCCGCAGGGTACCCCCCACACACGCC